TGCATGACGCTTTAACACAAAAAATTCTATTCAGCGAATTGTCATGCATTTTTGAACGGCTATGCCAACCAAATCCCTCAAAGTATGGGTTAGAGCTACTGACTAGCAAAGCCATGGTTTGAAGTGTGGAGTTACTGAAATAAACACTGTCAGAACAATGGGTCACGCAACCAAGAATGGTATAAATTGTACACCATGACTAATCACTGACCATATCCCACTGTCACGATCATGAATGGGAATCCTATTTATCCCACGTATCCGTCTTGCAGCTTTTTGTCGTAGTAGTAGTAGTAGTAGTAGTAGTCCAGAGTTTTAAATCCGGTTTGGTCCCCGAAGACGAGGGTGGCCGGTTTCACCTTAAACTAGTGGCAATCGCTCTTACCCCCTCCCTCCACTTTGCACGATTTAAAGCATCCCTCATCCTCATCCCAACCTTCCCACTCTTCTCCTCCACTTGCATCTTCTACGTCTTCTTTGGCCTCCCCCTTTTCCTTGGACCACTCACCTCTAAATCAAGGGCCCTTCTTAATACATGCCCATCCTCCCTCCTCAGCACATGCCCATACCAACGTACCCCATTTGCCTTCGCCAACCGATCTACCGCTTCCTTCAAACCCAACATCTGCATCAAGTCCTCAGTTACTTTTCTGTCCATCAACTTCACCCCACATATCACATCACTCTCACCATCACTCTCTCTGTCCTCCTTAAAATACCCAGCTCATTTTCACTCAAACACCATGTCTCGCTCCCATACAGCAATGCTGATCTCACACAACTCTTATAAACTATTCCTTTCATCTCCAAGGGAAATCTCTTCCCATATAGTAGCTCTCCACATTCCCTAAACTTCACCCAAGCAAACCTTGCTCTAGCTGTCACAGCCGCCTCACACCCACCACCCACACTTACCTTGTCCCCCAGGTATGTAAACTCCTTAACTGACTCAACCTCATCACACAACTTTTCTTCCTGTTCCACCACCCTTCCAACTCCATTCTTACATCTTCCACACGCAAAATCCCTTGCCAATCTTTGG